AATAAAATAAAATCTTGATAATACAATGTAATTATCATAATTATAACTAATGAAATTGTAATTAATATTGTTATAGTAAATGATTTATTATATTAACTTTAATAAATTATAATACAATATACTTTCATTTTGACATTCACAAAATTTGGTGAACGTTGCCAAATCCTTTGGTAATTAAATGATCATGATGTGCGTAAGAGGGGAATCCAACTATCGTCCATGTATGATTCATACTAGATCTACTTGTCATTTCTTTTTCAGAGTAGAGTCGCGAGACTGTTGTTGTTGGGGAGCTTAATATATATGAGTGTTATTCCGTGAAATTACTCAAACTTCAAATCACTATATTAATGCATGCTAACAATATAATTTCTTGATAATTGTATGCTCTTATGGATCCATTTTATTGCAATAAGTTGCATTTTAAACTTCATTTTGACTATGAGATACATGTAATGGTCAATAAACACTCGAACATAAAACATGTGCTCAGGTTTTATATATCTTCGATAAAATAATGAAAATCCATAATGCAATACCCCTATTTTTTTTTTTGGAATTTCAAAAAAATGGATTTTAAGAACTCTCAACAATTTTTTGATCCATTGTTTCGAATCATTGATTTTCCTATCCGGACCACGTTCCTGAACTACAGATCAGCCCGGCCGATCTAGGTTTTCAAACACAGACAAAAGGACTGTAAAAGAATAAAATGACATCATTAAATTAAATAAGAAAAATGTTAGCGGCATTAATTTAATAAATCTACAAGAAATATCTTTTTATACATTAAATATAATTTTTTAACTGAACTTATGAGAAAAATTACTGTTTTCAAAACTATAGAAGCATGCTAGATGCATAAAGGAACCATAAGAAAATCTAATGGGTATCATCAAACAAAAAACAAAATCAACGTTATAAATACATAAAGCAAAAGGTTTATATAAGGGTGAGGCCCTAAGCAACAAAATTAAGGCGCACCTCAAAAATTCACTAAAAGAGATTGTTTCAATGCCCAAAATCCTCGAATCGATGATCTCGACTTGAAGATATGTGGACTTGAGAAAACATGGATAGCAAGTCTAGGAAATAGTGTATCTTGTAATGCATTTCTGGACCGTCAATTTTCAAGATTACAAGTGTTCTTAGATTGCTCGATCTACACTATTATTAAAGCTTTTTAAATTCTGTAATTAGAGATGTAAATATATTTTTAGGCCATCACAAAGATTTCCATTATTGAAATAACGTCTATCGACAGTATTTGAAGATACACCTTCCTTTTATTGTTTAAAGCCTCACCCTTATACAAACCACACCCATACATAGAATGTTAACTCTGTGTACAAGTGAGAAGTTTCTCTCTATGCATGTACATAAAAAAAAAATTGATCTTACTCTTGTTTTTTTTTTTTAAAAATAAAATGCAATAGATACTGAAATAATACTTGATCCAGTGATTTCAGTAAAATATAAATCAATTTTATGAATTTAGGTTGATTAAAATGAAATTTATCTAAAATTTCAAGGCCGATCCTCCATTCTTGTCAAAGGTTCCTTAGATATCGAAATTGAAAGCCCCACATCCTAATTGAGTTTTGAATTCGGATCTTATTAAAATTCCGATAAGTAGTAGGCCTGGAATAGAAATCTGAAATGTCTGCCAGTTTCAGTTTAGTTTTTATTTTGTTTTGATTCGATGAAGAACCCAAAAATAGGCTTGGGGAACAAATTTTCGTAGAAGACCAACTAACTATTCTGAATAAGTGACAAGTTTTCCATTTCGGCCAAAACTGGTGTCAAAACCTTTGATCTCTTAATTTCATAACATATCATGTTCTTATCTCAAAATTGATAATCTTGGCAAAAGAAGTCTACTGCTGAAACTTGGGTTCAAATCAGTGCTCCTATGATGAGAAATGGAGAAAAAAGTGGGGGTCTATTTCTGCCCCTTTCATATTCTGGTTTTTGATCAGTTGTGATTGACTCGGTCACTCAAAACTCTCCGAGCTTATACTCCTCTATGTATCGCAGCATATGTTGTTATGAACTACCCCCCGAGTTGGGGGGTTCATGGGCTCGAGACCATACTGAGCCAGAGTGGTCCAGGTGAGTTTGAGTGGATAAGTAGGTGGGAACTCTGGATAAATAAAGCTGAAAATTCAACTATTTAAGAAGCATTGCATGGAGAAGATGTCCTGGCTTATGCTTCTTTCTTCTCATTAAAATCATGATCATTTCTTTGAATAATTCAATTCTGCTTGTGCCTGCGTCCATGTGCTTTCTGGCCACATTTTTTGACAATTTTGGTAAGGGAGTTTAAAGATATTCATCATGTTCATGTTGTGAATTGAAACTCATACATGCATCTGTAATTATTACCTTTTATTGTTGGGCACAATTGTTCCCCTTGTCTCTTTTTCACCCATCCATTTATTGCATGTTTACTCTGATTTTCACTGCTTTGAGCCAATTGCTCTCTCTTGTTTATGTCTTTGTAATGCCGATAAACTTTTTGGCTCCAAATATCTTGTTATGTTCAGTTATGATTTACTTGTGTTTTTGTTGGGTTTGTTCATGTCATGAAACATTATGTGCTTATAAATTACAGGCTACATTCAAGGTGACATTGGAAGTGCCTTCGGAGCTGATAGCATTGTCTAATATGCCAGTGCTTCAAGAAAAACATGATGGGCCTCTCAAAATTGTTTATTTTGAGGAGTCACCAATTATGTCCACATATTTGGTGGCTGTTGTTGTGGGGTTGTTTGATTATATGGAGGGCAAGACATTGAATGGTATGCAAATACACAAACCAGGTTCCTTGTGATGGTCGCATCCTCTCTTCTCGTGGCAAACTAACACAAACATGGTCAATTGCAGGGACTTGCGTTCGTGTATACTGTCAGGTTGGCAAGACAGATCAAGGGAAATTTGCTCTAGATGTCGCTGTGAAGGCACTTGATCTATATAAGAAGTAAGTTCCCGAGTTCTATTTAGATGATCCTTGATGTAGAATCTTAAATTTTGGTGGTGGAACACCATTGACTTCTTACAAAATGCTCCTACATGCGGTGTACAAACTGGTTTAAATATGGATTGATGTATTTTCTAAAATTTGCATTTGGTATATGTGCGTGCGTAATTGTGTGATCAGCTTTTTCTGGTTATTTCTTGTTCTTTTCTTTTTTTTTTGGTTGTCTTGCAGATACTTTGCAGAGCCATATCCACTTCCCAAACTGGATATGATCGCAATTCCTGATTTTGCTGCTGGAGCAATGGAGAACTATGGTTTAGTTACATATCGTGAAACGGCTTTGCTCTATGATGAGCGCAATTCTGCGGCTGCAAACAAGCAGCGGGTACTTTTGTAAATTTGACGATTTGACTTCTATTTGTTTGAGAATGTGCATTGCATGAACTCCTGTGTACTGTTGGTTATTATCCCATCAAACATGGCTTTGTATTGGCTTTTAAAGTCTTGTGAAATAACATACACTCATGAACGTATCATGGCTCTTCTTTTTCTTATCTAGATTGATAATATCCTATGTAGTTCCAAGGCTATTGGGTAGCAATCTTGGCTGGCTATTTCTTTTGGATGCATGATGACTCTCGTCTTATCTTTCAGCAGCCAACTAGGAGTGTATGTCATTGGACTCATCAGAATATTAAACTATTTACTGTTCAGGTTGCCATTGTGGTAGCACATGAATTGGCACACCAGTGGTTTGGAAATCTCGTTACAATGGAATGGTGGACCCACTTATGGCTTAATGAGGGATTTGCAACTTGGGTAGTTCTTCTCTGTTTCTTTGTTTCTTGTATTTGCTCGAAGTACACCTGGGAAATATGTCTGGACTGCTAAATGCTAAACTTGCAGGTGAGTTATTTGGCTGTTGATTCCTTGTTTCCTGATTGGAATATTTGGACACAATTTCTTGACGAAACAACTGGAGGTCTTAGACTGGATGGATTGGCAGAGTCACATCCCATAGAGGTAAACTTTTGTTTATTATTTCGTGTTGTACTTTGGTATCATCTGTTTCACAAATTGCTTATTTGTTAATAGCATATTTTAAGACAATTCGGGGAGTGGTAGCTCTTTTTTTTTTTTTTTGGAAATGTTAACTTTTGTATTGCTGTCGGAGAGAAGGTACAAGTTTAGGTTAGTCCGAGAGTGCCCCACTAGACGGGACTCTCGGCAAAAAAAGAATAGGTCAACAGACCCTATGCAAAATGGGGTTGTAAGTAAGTCCCCTTACAGAGTATACAGTTTGTTTGCAAAGAAGCACAAAAAATAAATTACCCCGTTCGAAGACAAGTGTTCTCCTAGCAAGATTCTTTGTAACCGGCCCAATGCAAAAAAGTTAAGGGCCTAATCTTCTTCATGGGCCTTGGCTCCGTCCTTCGCCAGCAGATCCGCGAGCTCGTTTGACGTCCTCGATGTATGCATCCATGAGACGGGCATATCCCTGCAAAGGTGTTCAAGCTCGTCATAAAGAGGTGCAAGATACCAGGGAGGAATAACATTCCTGGAGGCCCAAGTAATGATATTTCGGGCATCACCCTCCACTATTAGGTTTTGTGCCCAAGATTGATCGAAGCTTTGCAGGCCTTTAAGGAGGGCCAATGATTCATCATACTGTGAATCTTGGATGCCGAGGTATTCTGAGTAGGTGAAAAAGATGTTGTGTTGGTGGTCTCTAAAGACACCACCCGCACCTGCATGGCTAGGGTTTCACAAGGAGCACCCATCAAAGTCAAGTCTGATTGCTCCTTGAGGGGGAGGTTTCCAGACGCTTGATTTTTTCTTTTTCTTTGGTTTGTGTAAAAGAATATTCTCCCATTGAATTAGGAAGGAATTCGTTGGGATGCCCTTGAAGAGGGAGTGGTTTGATATCCAAAAGGTTACCAAGGATGTAACCTTTTGAAAGAGAGCTGGGGCCAGGCTGACCATTCCTTGAAATATTCAGGCATTTCTTTCTTTCCTAGGCATCCAAATGGTTGCTGCCACTGTTGCTTTCCATAGAATTCTTCTTGCTTCCAGCCAGTGTGAGGTGTAATTCGAAGCCAATAGATCTTTGACCGTCGGTGGTGTTACCTAGTGGACACCAAAGAGTTGAAGCAGGAGACTCCAAAGGTAGTGTGCAAAATTACAGTGGAGGAAGAGGTGATTGTTGGATTCCTTTTCGCACAAACACATGCTGCACCTATTGGGAATAGAAATCCCTTTCTTTTGTAGGTGATCGATAGTTAGTGCCTTGTGGGAGCCAACAGTCCACTTGAATGTTTGCACCTTGGGAGGTGCTATAGTTTTCCATACCTGAGAGAGCACTGATGTGGGATTGAGCGGGAAAGTAGGAGGTTGGGTGAGTATATTGTAAAAGGAGGCTACAGTAAACTCCCCTGAAGGGACGAGGGACCATACCAACTTATCCCTTCCTTGGAGAGGGATAAAAGTACGGTGTACCGGTGCCGAAAGTGAGAGAAATTGGTCTGTTTCCTCCTCTGAGAAGTTTCTTCTAAATGAGGGTTGCCACTAACGGCTATTGAGTAAACAGAAGGGTAGCATTCCCTCAATGGTGCATGGCTTAGCCTCTGACCAAAAGCGCACTCTTGTGCCTTCTCTTGTGTGAAACCTGGTGAATATCTTGAATGGTGCAAGGGAGGAGGTAAAGGATCTCCACGCTCCTGATGTGTTGGACCATGGTTATCTCTCTGGTACCCAGGTATGATCTGAAGTGTTATATTTACTCCGAAGTACCTAAGCCCAAAGAGTATCCGTTTGGGTGGCCAAACACCACCACCATTTTCCTACTAGGGCCAAGTTTTGCTTTCTCAGAAGTTTGATCCCCAACCCCCCCTGATTTTTGGGTAAACATACCTTGCCCTAGGAAACGAGATGAAACTTAGTTTTGTCGGCCTGCCCTGACCAGAGAAAGTTCCTCATGAGTTGGTCAAGGCGGTTGGCCATTGAAGTAGGTATCTGAAAAAGGGACATAGGGTACACAGGTGCATTAGCAAGGTTGGCTTTGATGAGGGTGATTCTACCCGCTTGGAAACGATAGCTCCCTTTCCACCTAGCCAACCTTCTATCTACCTTGTCGATGACATGGGACCAGTGTCTCTTTTTTGGTTTTCCAAGTCCTAGAGGTAGGACCAGGTAAGTAGTGGGGAGGTCCTCCACTTTACATTCCCATGATGGTATGAGCTCTCTGATTTGACTGTTGTCGATTGCTATACCCAGCATTTTTTAGACTTCTCCATATTGACCTTTAACCAGTGGCCAGTTGGAAACATTTGAGATAGAGCCTCAGGTTTTCAACTTCTTGGGAGGAGGCATCTAGAAAGACTAGTGTGTCGTCTGCATATTGCAGGTGCGACACATTAGGCCCCCGGCATGAAGTTTTAAAACCTGTAAGAATGCTAGCTTGGTAAAGACGACCCAATGATCGGCTGAAAACCTTTGTCGAAATAGCAAAAAGGAATGGGGATAGGGGATCCCCTTGACGTAGGCCCCTCGATGAGGGAAAGTAGCCTTTGGGGGTACCATTGATGAGAATCGAAAAGAATGGGTGAGAGTAGCAACCTCTCATCCATATTCTCCATCGATCTCAGAAGCCCATTCTTGCCATTGTCTCATCCAGGACTGACTAGTTAACATGGTCATATGCTTTATCCCAGTCAATCTTAAATATTAGACCAGGCATTTTGGCCAAGTGCCTTGAATGAATACATTCATGTGCGATTAGTGCACCGTCAAGGATTTGTCTATTTTTAATGAAGGCCGACTGTGAAGATGAAATGAGAACAGGGAGGGCCTGCTATAGTCTTGATGCCAGGACCTTGGACAAGATTTTATAGGAGTTGAGCAAACTTATGGGATGGAAGTCCTTTAGTCTCAGCCCCTTCTACCGTAGGTACCAGTGCAATGAAGGTGGCATTAATGGATTTATTGAGTATAACCTGAAGGAAGAATTATGTGAAGAAGTCTGGGCGAAAAGTTTCCCAAAAAATTTTAAATGGGGCCACGGGAAACCCATCAGGGCCAAGAGCTTTGTCTTTTGCTAGGTCATCCAGAGCTTTAAGGATTTCATCTTCTAGGAAGGGTGTCCCAGCCATGAAGCCTGTTCTTCCCATAAGGTCAAAAACCCTAAGTCAGCCATGGCTGGTCTTGGACCACTTGGAGAAGAGTAAAGATTCTGGTAAAGGGAGAGGATAGCTGACTCGATTTTTGCCGTCTGGTCCAGATAATGATTATTGACTTTAATGGTCGAGATTGAATTATCCCTCCTGCGACAGTTTGCAATTATGTGGAACAATCGGGTGTTATGGTCTCGTACTTTGAGCCAATTGACTCTTGATCTTTGGAACCAGTAAAGCTCTTCTTTTTTGAGAGTAGAGAGGTAATTGAGTTTGGTTTGGGTTCTGAGGTCAGCTTCAGTGGTAGTCAGAGGGAGAGACTCTTCAGGGCAATCTAGTTCTTGCATGGACTTAAGGAGATCAGACTTAATTTGAGAATAGTTGCCAGGGATGGACCGACTCCAGGATTTGAGAGAAGCTTTTAGAAGTTGAATCTTTGATTGGAGGCTGAAACCAACTCTTCCATTCACCTGGCCAGAGAAGGAATTCCACCAAATGGGGATTAAAGAAGGTAGGGATTTTTCTTCTAGCCAAGCTAGTTCGAATTTAAAAGGTTTAGGGCCTTTATTCAGGGCTATGGTGGAAAGGAGGATGGGGCAATGGTCTGAAATAGGTTTAGGCAAAGCAATGGCGTGTGATCTCGAAAAACTTTCCTCCCACTCCAAGGCTAAGAGAAACCTGTCAAGTTTGGAAAGGGTAGGTTGGGTGGAATGACTGGACCAGGTGAAACGGTCACCTGGAAGAGCGATCTCTTGACAATGAAGTTGGATAAATCCGACATCCCCTGAGATATAAGGGAGGTAGAGTTTCGTTCATGGGACCAACATGTGATGTTGAAGTCTCCACCCAAGCACCAAACAAGGTGGGGTAGGGAGGCTACAAAGTACAGTTCGGACCAAAGACGAGGTCGAATGGAGGAAGAGCAGAGGCCATAAATGGCCGAGAATTCCATTCAAAACCGTCCAAAAAACGAGACAGTAGAATAATTACAAAGAATTCCCCTACATGTGAGGATATTAGAAGATGCTCTGTGGGGTCCTAGATCACCCAAATTCCCCCTGAGGTTCCTTTCGCGGGTAGGACTACCCACTGACAAGGCCTCCTACCCCATACCTGTCGAATGAGGAAGAGAGAGGGCTCGGGTGATTTGGTTTCAGTAAGTGCAAGAATAGTGGGGCAGTGTTTCGATGTGAGGTCCTTAACAACCTTCCTTTTGGATGGATGACCCAGACCTCTGATATTCTAGGAGATGATCTTCATGTTTTAGGAGATGGGGAAGAGAAAGAGGCTAATCGAGCTGATCGCCTCAAAGAGAAGGGGAGAGAGGAGGTAGGGACACCTACAGAAGTGGATGGGCCGTCGAAAGAGAGAGAAGAAAATGGGTTCAGTAGTTCCCTTTGTCCTTTGAATCCCACGTTCTATCGACTCTGTGCATCTGCGAGCATGAAGTGATGGGTTGGTCCTTCTGGACCGTTGTACTGAAAACTCATTATGCGATACATCTCCTTCATCCTTTTGAGATCACGGTCGTGCCCTTCCTCGTCGACCCCCGGGTTGTTGACCCTTGTTGAGGGGGGAGAGATGGGCGTTTCAGGGTCTTCCATATCGCGATCTTGCCCATCCTCGTCAACCCCCTCGTCGGTGGTTCTTGGCGAGGGAGGAGAGATGGGCGTTGATTAGTCTTCCAATGAGTCCGACACCAGAGGATACAGATCAAGGGGAAGGGTGGGGAGTGAAGCAGATGGAATAGGAGTAGAGCAGAAAGAGGTGGGGGAAGTGCAGGGGGGTACAGTGAAAGGGGTGGGTTGTGGCGAAAGAGGCTGAGAAACGGTGGAGGGGGGGAGAGGCTCAAAAGGCAAAGATCGGGAGTCTTGATCCCCAGTGAGAAGTGGGGAAGAGGAAGAGGTAGCACGGGGGAGGGGTAAAGAAGGGGAGGAGGGGTGGGAGTGAGAAAAGGAGGATAGGGAGGAACCAGGTAGGCGTAAAAATGGGAGATGGAGATAGAGTGGTGGGAGAAACAGCAGGGCCCAAAAAAGTGGTGCGAGGAATGGACCCTGTTAACCTTGATAAGGTAAGGGCTCAGGGCTAAGGGAGATGTCAAAAAGAAGTTAGGAGAGGCTGAATCAGACGAGGAGGCGGGGTACAAGGGGGGAGAGGAGCTGTCCATATGGGTGGAGTGAGTAGACGCAAAAGGGGAGGTGGGAGGGGGACAAGATGAGGGAGACCTCGGGGTCAACTGAGAGCAGTGCCGGGGGGGACATTGTTTACAAGACGGAGATTGGGTTGGGTGAAGGAAAGGATGGGGGGGGGGAAGAAAGATGGAGGAGAGGATGACGAGGCCGGGAGGAGAGGGAAGGGCTCGCCAGAGGTGAGGGAAGGAGGGGAGGGGGAACAAAAGGAGGATGCAGATAAGAAGACGAGGCGGGGGAAGAAGGAGAGGGGACCAAGTGCCATGATGGCGACTGGAGTCGGTGGTCGGGTGGATGCCACGTGGCATCCATGGAGGCACAGGGGAGAGGAAGGGGGGAAGAGGGGCGGGGCTCAAGGCAAGATGCCTTGGTGCATGGATGGAGAGAGAGGGCAGAGGAACTAAAGGCTGGGTGGGAGGTGGGCGGCGACGTGGCGTACAAAGGGGGGGCAAGGTCGGCGGAAAGGGACGTGGCAGTCAGCGGAGGAGCGGGTGGAATAAATGCTGAGTTAGAGGGAGGCCCCACTGAAGGAGATGTGAAGGGTTCGAAGAGGCAAAAGGCTGCGGGGATTAGAGGTGAGGCGGTGGTGGAGGACGGGCCAGGTTCAGAGAAAGACCTGACGACAAATTACTCAAATTTGTTGGGGCAATGGGCTCTTTGCTGAGCCGACGGGTAGAGGTGTAGGAGGTCTGGCAGGGGCTCTGACACAAGAAATCGAACTCGATTGATCCTCTGCCACTGTAGTCACCGGCCCCCGACAAGGAGTAGAGCCTCCAATGCTTTGTTCGGTCCGAGGGCAGTACTCAGCCGTATCCCTAGGTTGTTGAACTGGCTGCCACGAAACCGAGCCAAGAGGTTTAGGTACCGATGACCGTTGCGACGCCGGGAGGCTCGGTAGGGGGGCAGTGGCCTGTTGGTGGCGTCTCTTAGAGTGGCGGTTCTTGCGTTGCATAGTAGTCTAGGCTAGTGGATCTTTCGGCTGTGGAGGTGGAGGAGAATTGAAGAAGCAAGAGGAAGGAGGCGAGGCTCCTGTCCAAGAGAGAGAGACACGAAAGAAAAGGAATTGAACCTCAAGCCCGACGTTCGAAGGAATGAGGCTGGTATCTAGCACTTCGAGAAGCAGACGGATGGAGCCTAGGGGAAGGGTCTCGATTGATTTCCAGTGGATGGTTATCAGGTCCCCGCACACTTCAGCCACTCTTTTGAAAGTCACCGGAGACCAAGCATGGTGGGGAACATTGTCTAGGGTAAGCCAAACCCGTTGTTTCCTTTAGGATCCTTGAGAGGTGGACCACTGTCGTAGCGTGCAAGAAGCCCCATGGAAGGTGGAACTTGAAGAGGCCTCAAGAGCATTCAAGGCCAACTCTGGGGATGGGAAAGAGAGCAGAAAGAAACTGCCATTAATGCATCGGCAGGTGAGAGAGGGTTCACCCCAGATATTTTTAGCCCAGCGCTCAATACGTCTGTCATCATCGCGTCTGGGACGAAACGTGGCCACCAAGCATGAGTGAAGCTTTTCCTCGAGATGGGTCAAGGTTTTTAGCGGGGTCGAGATGATGCAAGAAAGAAATGAAGAGGGACATGAAAAAGGGGAACTCCTTTCGCAAGTAAAGGAGGAGGAGCAAACCGGCGCAGGAGTAGGTGAAGTCGAGGTGAGCACCTGAGAGAAGGTGGCCTTGGTAGAGTCCCCCAGAGCAGGGGGCCGAGGGCCGACAGAAGAGGGAGGGAGGGTACTGGAAAGTGGGGGAGAGGTTTTGGGGTAGAGGTTGTAAATCTGTTCCCAACTCAAAGTTGGAGGGAGGGAGGGAGGATGATGACGACGATGAGCCATCTAGAGTTAGATGTTTTTACACCTCCTATTTCGGACTGGGTGTAGCTAGCTCTTCTCATTGATATCATAAAGTATCTTTGTGTTAAAAAAAAGATATCATAAAGAATATTTCTGTAAGATGCTTTCAAGGGATATGTTAGATTATTTCTGAAGCAAAATTAGTAGGACTTTCTAGGGAGTTGCAGATTATCTATGATCTTCATTCTCTAATAGGAGATCATTGAAGGTCATGTGTCGCCATTTAACAATTTGTTCTTAATTTCTAGAATATTCATGGTCATATCAAAGCCAATAAATGCTGCTAGTAAAAGCTTATTGGCAGGCTAAGGTCCCTTGCACCTGTGACTGACTAGAATAAAGAAAAATGCCACACCATTTGTCTTCATCTTTCATGCTGGGAAAAATTGCGAAAGCAATAATGTGGAAACCTTCAAATTAGATTCAGGGCCCACTCATAGGGGCTATATGGTATGCCATATAGTGTGCAATGGAAAAAAACCTGTATGCTGATCTTAATGGAGTTCTATGTATTTCCTTTTTTATGGGACCTTAAGTTAGGTGCCCGACCTCCATTCAGGTTGTGCCCATTTCAGGCAATTGGACTTGTGCATTACTCTGGTTTATGGATCAAAATATCCTGAAACGGTCTTATAATACTACATGTAGCATATATGCATCGGTCTTATGTGGACATAAGTTTGAGATGGCTGCAAGTGGAAGTTTTTCTCATTTGGTATCTGGCATTATCCATTGTGTAATCGTATTGCAATTGTTAAATACTTAAAACTTGCAGCCACCTGCCTGAGATGTTCGATGGTATTTTTAGAGTTGCATTTGATTGGATACTGAAATTTGATGTATCAAAGGTTAAGATGAAGTGGATGTTAGATGGTTGTACGCTCTCTTGTGAATTTGGGTTTTAATTATTGGTCCGTATGCTGCCTAAACATTATCTACTAGGCTCTCTAACTGCTGCAAGGAAGTTTCCATTAAGTGGATCCAAACAATTTACATCCTAAAATCTCTCGTACCTAAGAATTTTCCGTTTCTGTTGTTCCAGTTACCATATAAATTAATGTTTATAGTACTTTTCGAATTGTATATTGGCTTAATGAGTTCTTGCTTTCTCTTTTCAACATGTGGCTATGCATTAAATGTTGTGTGTTTCAGGTTGAGATAAACCATGCTCGTGAGGTTGATGAAATCTTCGATGCCATAAGCTATAAGAAGGGTGCATCTGTTATTCGCATGCTGCAGGCTTACCTCGGGGCTGAAACTGTTCAGGTGATGTTCCATGCTTCGTTGATTAGCTTAATTCAGAAACAATACTGATCCGTTTAGCTCTTAAAATTGAAAAAATTCTTTGTATTCCACCTGATAGCAAGTGGGCAGGAATTGTAATTTCATTGAAGGTAACGTTAAGAAAGAACTAGCAATTTGCATGTTAAAATTTTTTAAGATATGTTGTCAGACAAAAAAGAGGTTGCTGTTGTCGTCGTATTTTCTAAGAATGATATCATGTGCCTCTACAGAGGATTTAGATTATTGGCACCCTTTCTTAAGTTGATCATACATATTAATTGCCTAACATGGTTACTTATTGAATTGCAAGAGGAATGCTGATTATTGCTAGGATGGGCAATCCAAATTTATGGAGTCAAATAGGAAAAGGGTTAGACCTCTTTACCTCCATTTAAATGGTATTAGGAATCTCATAACATCACATTGAATTTGTGTTGCAAGGGCGTTTTCTGCTTCACTATCTTCAATGGTGCTTATGATTACATGGATCAACTTCTTGACAGAACAAAGGTTCAGTGGAGTTTTGGCATCCTGTGACCTTCATTTTTCTTTCTATTTGTCTGCTTTTATTCCAAGAACATTAATATATATGAGCAAACTTAGGGTCCTGTAGAGAATTTGGTTGGTGGTATTCATTGCGGTAAACATGTTTTTGTAATGGGGTTCCCTTATCAAAAACCTGGAACTTGTCGTCACTGGTCACTTTTGTAGACTGTCCAGATACTGAAACCAGCTATGCATGGGGTTCCCTTATAAAAAAACCCCAATATTTTGTCATCTGATGTGATGTCCTTGTGGGATATTGTATTGGGAACATTGACACCATATTAGTATAATATACATATCCTTATTCTATAACATTGTAACTCAAAAGTCCAGGACCTTGGTCCTTCGTGAATAATCCATAGGTGGAATAGATCACAGCAGGATCCTTATTCAAATATTGTTATGCTGCTTCCTGTGATGCACAGATTCTCCGAAAAGGGTGCTGTATATACATCAATACCTTAAAAAACATATTGAAAACTTGAGAAGTGGCATCTTAGCCATGTCCACTGCTGTAAATGTGCAAGGTTGCAGCAAAGAGGAGAAAAACTCATCATCGTCATCAGAGCCTTTTTCCAACAATTTGGGGTTAGCTACATGAATCTTGGTCCGCAATTTTGCTCTATCAAGGGCCATACCCTCAGTGAGGCCATAAGTCCCCATCTCACTTATTTTGAAGGGAATTCAGACTTTTCACTTATTTTGACCATCTTGTACTGAAGACTTCATATTTTGCTTTGTGTAGAAGAAGGCTATTTTTGGCCTTATATGTTTATTTATTTATCTACGATGTCTTGGCCGTGTCCATAGCTGTATTTGTGCAACATGGGCTGCAGTAAAGAGGATAAAAAAATTAAGGAACTGAAAAGACTTAAGATCTTGAATGGAAATCAAACTCTTCACTTGTGGCCATCAAATATTGAAGAATCTTCGTCAGATTATTTGTCTTTTTAAAAGCCCTTTGATTTATTGTGGAGGGTTATGATCTTGTATATTTCAGTTTTAGGATACTCCCTTTCTAGTGTATTCCTAAACCTACTTAACATTTTTAGACATTCAATACCGTTACTTCTCCACATGAGTAACTCTGTCTTTGGACATTGGTTTGCATAATGTTGTAACCTTTTTTTTTGCAATCTTAAACAATCAAATTAAGGTGTACCTCCAAAATTTGTCCTGAAATGCAATTTTGGTGTCGAAAATTCTTAGGATGGTGTGAGAATCTATTTTTATCTTTAATTAAAAAATTTTAAACTCCAAAAACAGTCCAAATAAATCAGATCTATAAACGCATGGAAATCTTGAAAATAGACTGTCCAAATAATGTGTAGCAAGATGTACTATTTTTAGGACTTGAAATCTCTTTTTTTCTTCTTATCTATACATTTCGATGTTGAGATGATCAATACGATGTTTTAGCAACATCAAAGCAACCTTCTTTGAATCACTTTAATTCTACATCTTAAGATGTCAACTCTATATTAACTTTTTTCATTAATTAATCAAAGGTAAAGTAGAAATTTTAGTAGGTGAAAAAAAAACATTTATATTGGATAATGACATTATCCACATGAGGTGTGATATTACCTATAGAGCATTAAATACTTTTCAACAACTAATGAAATTTCATCGTCTTCTTATAGAAATACATTTTCTGCCCCCACTAATGACAAAATGCGTTGTTACTTGAAATTTTTTTATATTTAAAAGCCAATGATATTGGTGTCCAATGACAGTTGTCTAGGTTAAGAGATACTCTCTAAGGGGTTAGCTACGCTAAACTCTTTATTTATCAACATTTATTTTCTTTTGTTATGCGATTTCTCCCCATGGATTTCTTTGGTTGATTATAAGTTCAATGATATAATTATTATCGTAACGTATATAAGTTATTGAAAAGTGTGTGAAAACCGAAACTACTTTTTCTCCATCTCCAAGGTTAACCTCTTCTCTTCTCCCTCAGATTTCCTGATTTTTCTTGAAAGATCTGCTGAATGACAAGGCAAAAGGAAGAATCAATGTGTGTGGATATAACTAAGAACCCTACGGCCATTAAATGTAATTTTCCAGTTTAGACTGTTAACTAGATGGTCATATGGACAACACAAATACTTTCTGATAGCGTTGTCGTTCAATTTGGAAGTCCATACAGCTTAATATGACTGGAAACTAGATAACATGTCTTAGTTGAAACTTCACATTCACCTGGAGTGGAGTGGGGATACTAATGTGGATTTTTCATGTTGGCAGTAGTGGTTAGTTATGTACTCAGAGAAACATATGTTCTGATGGATGGATGGATGGGTTTGCCAAATGCTAATTTTGTGAGCAGGAATATTGAGAAGGAAGGGTCAGGCTTGTGGGGTTTCATGCCTTCTTGAGGGAGGAAGTTTTTAAATATTTGTTAATGTGCACTTCCTCTCTTATGAAATTGTTGATGAAAAGAATGGATGTTTCATTTCTTAATGTTTTGGGGAGCTTTCTAAATCTCCAGGTCAACTAAGTCCTTTTCTTCTTTTGGGTGGGTACTCCATGGGGCTGGGGTTTTGGTGGTGGTGGTGGTGGTAGTGGTTTGGTGTGTTGGGATTTGAACTTTGGATGTTCTTCTGCGGGCTTCAATAATGTACCCACCTAATCTAGAGTCAAAATCTGAATCTCAAGTTGGCTATATCTAAATATAATGCCGTATTCCCGATATAAATATAATGTCGTATTCCCCTTTCTCAAATTGGCTGACATGTATGACTTGATTACTTGAGTTGTTGCAGGTGTGGTTCAAAAATTGTATGACGGACTTGGAGAAAGGATGGGAATTTCTCAATTGCTCTCAACAGATCGATCAACATTCTCCAATATTTCTTTAGGGTCCTTGAGATTCTTAGCTTTCTGTATCAGAGCTGATGGTGATTAAGTTCCACAATCGGGCATAATTTCTCATTGGGATCAATGGCATGCATGTGCAAATGCAATTATGATGATCGAAATATTCTCAAAACCGATACATATTACATTAATATTGCAAATCAGTGGTTTAAAAAACGGATCGATGGCCCGGATCGGTCACCCCAAAAACCCATCCGGATCAGTGGATCGACGATCCGGATCGGGAATCGGCCGAATCGGTCGGATTAAGCTTTAAAAAAATCTAAAAAAATTATTAAAATTCATTGTAAATGTTGTTTTTTAGGAATCCAATAAGAAATCAGGGTACTACATTATTAATTTTCATTTTTTTCCTCAATATGTGAATATTGAGATATTTTTTCTTTGTATGAACTTATTTTAACCATTAAATTACATCACACAAAATAAAAATCTTGGAACTATCATGGATGAAGTAAATAATCATACATGGACTACAATAAAGAATGGTTTTTTGATAAGAACCTTTTAGTTTTTTTGACAAAACCTTTTATTTGTTTACAAGAATGTTTGTCGTATTACATTTTTTTTTTGTTTTTAGCAAGAACCTTTTTTTTGACAAAAAATACTTGTTGTATTATTATTTTTTTTTAAGAACTTTTTTTTTTGACAATAACTTTGTTTTACTTTTTATTTTTTTGACAAAAACCTTTTATTTTTTTGACAAAAAAAAGTTATTTGACAAGAAAATAATTGATAAGAACCTTTCATTTTTTTGATAAGAAATTTTTTTGACAAAGAGCGAAATTGATAAAAAAAACCTTTCATTTTTTTTATAAGAAAAATATTTGACTTCAAAAAAATAAATTTGACAAGAAAAATAATTGATAAGAACCTTTCATTTTTTTTTTTAAGAAACTTTTTATTTTATTGATAAGAAAAAAAATTGACAAAAAGTGAAATTGATAAAAAAACCTTTCATTGTTTTGATAAGAAATTTTTTTTACAAAAGCGAAATTGATAAAAAAACCTTTCATTTTTTTTATAAGAGAAAAATTTGACAAAAAAAATAAAAATAAAAAAACAACATTTCTTTCCGAGAGGGGATTCAAACCAACTCGAGGGGATTCGAACCAACGCCCTCCACGCGCAAAAATTATTTGATACCCAGTATGCCACATGCAACTTAGTGGTATTGAAAGCGAAAACAAAATATATAATATATTAATGTTTCAAGTTAATACCTTTTCACATTATCCCACATCGAATTGGTAAAAGGAAGTTGTAGTAAATAAATACCTCTTTGTACCCAACGAGGATAACGCGTGCGCAGTAAGGAGAGCCACGTGGCGAGGTGTGCGGACCTTAGGTTTTGTAATTTTTAAAATTTACAAAAATGCCCATTGTTGAAGAATCGGGCGGGCCATGACGTAATGAATCGAAGAATCGGGAGATTCATGACATCACATGGCGATTTATGGCATGGAATCGATAGTTCTTCTCTAGAACTGGGTGATTTCCGATATTTCACTGGAACCGGCACGAGTGTGCCGGTTCTCGAGTCGAATAGGACGAGTCCGGTTCAACTCGCCGACTTTTTAATCATTGCTGCAAATGGATAAATTAACCTCTTATATCGTCTTCTTGTTAGCCTTTTAAAGGTCTATTGGAATGTTCTAATGTTGTTTACAAATTTTTAAATGATTTGGATATTTTATAGTAAATAATTCAGATGGTTTTCAAGTAGTTGTAGGTTTCTTTGAGTTTTTGACATACCCTCATCTATACTTTGGTCATTTGCAAGAAATATCTTATGATGCTTCCTGGTATAGAATTGGCTAATATGGACAGTTGAATTGTGCTTGTCTTCTGCCCAGTTTGATTTTACAAATGTCGGAGATGTGAGCATGTCTTATGCATTTTGTTGGTAATACTATCGATTTTTGTTAATCTAATTGAAATGGAGCCTACTAATGTGACTTGTTTGCAGGTTTTATTCCTTATATAGATACCTATAATATGTTGTGTATTTATTGACCCTAACAATCAGCATTTTAACTTATAATATGATATGTTTGCAATAGAGATCTTTGGCTTCATACATAAAGAGGCATGCATATAAAAATGCAAAGACAGAAGACTTATGGGCTGTGCTTTCTGAGGAATCTGGAGAACCAGTGAACATGCTGATGGATTCATGGACCAAGCAGAAAGGATATCCTGTTATTTATGCAAAACTCGAGGATCACCGGTTGGAGTTTGAACAGGTCCCTGAGTCCCATGTTTTATATTGATGAATTTTTAGTTTTAGTAAATTTGGTTGTGCTGCTTGTATTTGTGCACTTTCTTGTTTTGGCATCTTTTTTTATATCTAGGTTTTTATGAATCTTGTCATCAGTTTTGTTTTGTGGGTTTTATTAGCTATGGTTTGATTGATGTTCTTTTTGGTATTTAGTTAGAGATTGATTACATCTAGTGTTTCTTATCACTTCATTTTTGTATCTTTGGGTATTAAATTTTTCTTTATTTCCAAAGTTCTTATCAGTTTTTAAAATCTTTTCTTAACATAATGCTACAATGTGGAAACGAAATTCGAACGATTTTCCTTAATTGTCTGTTTTTTGTATATTTTAGTTCACATAGAAGTGATTAGTATTTTGTTCACCCAAAATTTTAGTAATTCCCAATCGGAATTGGTCTTGATGTACAACTTCGTGCTGACAGTGAAACATACTTAAAGAATTGTACATCAAGACCAATTCCGATAGTCGTGGGAGGCAAGGCACACAGGGGATAGG